TCTGTACATTTCAATACCTCTGTACATTGTGTAATTATCAAATTGGTAATTAGCATATCCATCAGCTCATCTATTTATCATTTCTTTGTATTGTGAGCATTCAAAATCCTCTTGTCTAGCAACAATTGTGTTTATTTGCTAACTATATCTTTGGAATGCTTAGTTGATTCAGTGGGCACAATTCCTCCAATGCACTTGCAGTCCTCCCAGACCACAGGGACCCAGTGCAATTCATTCACTCTCACCATAAGTTTCACACTCTGTCAAAGTTGTGAACAAAAATAAAATCTTAAGGCTTCCCTCCACCAGCTGACTGAATGGACCCCCCTCTTGGCCAAGTAGATACCTTAAAACTGAGTAGCTGGCCATGAAAGGGAAGGTCAGACAAGCCACATCATGCCCCCTCCCTTCTTGCAGATATTCTTTGTAACTCATTAACAGGCCTAAGGCTACACAAGGCAAACCTACAGGTCCGTGATTTACATAACAAACCACTGAGTCTGGGTATATGTTCTGTGGCTTATCTCTAATTAACAGACTTCCTTATCTTAAAACATCCCAAGCCTTTAGACAAAACTTTATTTCTTTAACCAATTACAAATCAAAGAGTCTATCAAGGCTGCCCCTCCACCCCACTTTGAGATGTCCCATATTTTCTGAGTGAACTAATGTATGCCTTCCATGTATTGACTTATGACTTTACCTGTAATTCCTGTCTCTCTGAAATGTATAAAACCAAACTGTAACCCAACCACAGCTGAGTCCATGTGTTCAAGTCTTTGAGAACCAAACTCTGAACTTTTTCTTTTGCCCAAATTCCTTTCTAAGGGGGCCTGGTGAGTTACACCTACAAATGATTAAATCTCACTAAACAGGTTTTCTTAGCCCAATATAATGTAGTTTACTTCCCAACCCAATTACCATATAAGATCACATAAAAGATAGAAGACCCTTATCTTAACTCAAGCATTCTTTAAAAGGACTCCTGGTCTTTTAGACAAAGTCTTGCTCTTTCAGTCAATAGTCAACTAAAGAATCCCTAAACCCACCTATGACTTATAAGCCCCTGCTTCAAGATGTCCTGCCTTTTGGGGCCAAACCAATGTATGCCTCCCAAATATTGATTTATGACTTTACCTATAACCCCTATCTCCCTGAAATGTATAAAACCAAACTGCAACCCAACCACAGGAGTCCACTTGCTCAAGGCTTCTTGGGCATGCCTCTGGGCCATGGTCCTCAAATTTGGCTCAGAACAAACATCCTTAAATTATTTTACAGAGTTTTTCTTCTTTCCCATTGACAAAGTTCGTCTTTCCTGATAAACTCCCCTTTAGTGTTCCAGGCAAATAGTGCATGGAAGGTTGAAGAATATTCTGCTTACTGTCCTACTCAGAGTGCTTCCTATTCTTCAAGAAAGAAGAAAACAAGTGGTGGTGAAAATAGCAAAGGTATGAAATTTATATCTTATACAAGGGCAGTGGGAAAACTGCCAAGATTTAAAGTAAATTACTGACACGACCTGATTTCCTTTTTAAAAGATCATTCTGGCTGTTGTGAGGAGAATTGATATGGGATGTGATGGGGCAAGAATATTACCAAGAACAGTCAGAGGCTGTGAAGCTCCTCTGAGGAGCGAATTATGGCCTGAACCAGGGCCTTGAAGTAGAGATTAGGTAGTGGTCATACTTAGGAAGTATTTTGAAAGTACAGCCAACTGGATTTGCTAATGGCAGTGCCTGGGGAGAGTGAAAGGTAAAAGGATTCCTATATTTTTAAATAACTGGGTGAAACAACAGTCATTAACCAAGAAAAGTTTGGCAGGTGTGATGTGCTGAATTGTGTACCCTCAATTCATACGTTGTAGCCCTAACTGACCTCTAGTGTTTGGATACAGGGCCTTTAAAGAGTCATTGAAGTTAAAATGAGGCTGTTAGGTTGGGCCCTAATTCCATCTGTTGGGTGTCTCCATGCAAAGAGAACATTTGGACACAAAGAGAGACACAGGAGTCATGTGCACAAGAGAAACTCCACCTGAGGACACAGCAAGATATCGCCCATCTCCAAGACAAAGAGAGAGGCCTCAGGAGACATAGAACCTGCTGACACCTTGATCTTGGATTTCAGGGTTCTAGAACTGTAAGAAAATCAATTTCTATTGTTTAAGACATCGAGTCTGTGGCATTGTGTAAGGGCATCTATAGCAAAATAATATCTGAGAGAGTAGGTATTAGGATGTGGAAATACTCCTGTCTGGGACATTTGAAGTTGAACATCCTTATTGGAAGGCAGTGGATGGCTTGAGGGCTCCAACTCACCCAAAGGAGCCTCAGCTCCTGCTACAATCCTGCAACTCACTCTCACCCCACCTGCCTCACTCACAGTGTCTCTTTCAATGTTCCGTAACTTCTGTTTTGCCTTTCTCTGATGAGTTCGCACCTGATATTTATTCTTTAATGATTCACTAATCTCTTTCACATATTGCTGACATTAGAGAAGGTCAGGGAAATGGCCTGCACTTAGTGATATTTGAAGTGTCACATCTTCTCTTCCTGTATTCAGCAAGCCAAGTTAAGCTTGCCTTCCACCAGGACTGACGCCTCTGCAGCCACCCACACAATGAGGCAAGTCTGCCTGGCACTGCTCCCTGCTCCTCCTCTCTGACCCTCCTTTCCCACCTGATTATCAGCCATAGGCCACCTGGGCAGGACCACTCATGTTCAATCCTCCTTTAAAATAGTGTCCAGCGAAGGTAGAGACAGTCATCCCAATTACATGGTGGGGCTTGCTTGGACCAAGAAGCTATTCCCTGACTCCCATAAAGCACAGAAAGCCCACCTAGAACTGTTCTCCTTTCTCACATAACCAGAGAAGACTTGAGAACTGATCATATAAAACCCCTTCAGGAGACATCCATGATTATGCCAGGAGAAAAAAAACAATCTGCCTGGTACAAGGACAAGGCTATCTGGAACAAACCCCATTTTGTTGCAAGCCTTGCTGTCAGGTTACCTGCAACCCCTGGGAAGGGCCAAAGGAGACCCTCATGTGCACAGCGTAGATTCCACTGATGTATACTGGTCAAGGGACCTGTCTTTAGGGTTTCCCATCACATGACCTTTCCTGCCATATCTCTAACCAAACTACCCTCAAATTACCATCAACCCTGCACAAAAAATGAATAATTACACAAGTCATAAGAATGTCTGAAATGGTAAGTGGCAGTAGTGATACTGACTCATCCAGGTCTTTCATGAATCGATGAGCCGTCAACTACTAGATACAACAAAAATGTCAGCTAAAAAGAGAGTTACCAGTTCAGCTGGGCTAAAAATAGATCTTTGGAGGTATAATACCTTGTTGTCAAAGTTAAAAAAATAAAAATAAAACTAGTAAAGAATACTATAGCTCTGATTTAACAGATTAAGTAAAGAAATTCTTCCAAAATGTGTAACCAAATAAAAGCTAGATATAAGAGGAAAAATAAACACAAGATTGATTAAATCAGAAGATAAAATATCTACATATGAGTTTCAGAAGGAGAGTGGGGAGGAATGAGTATCAGAATATTACAGAGAAAATCCCCCGTTGAAGAAAAATTTGAGAAAACAGATAGCATAGACACTGGAAAAGAGAAAGTCACCACAATGCATTTGAGACTTTGAACAGAGAATCAGACTACCTAACTGGAGAATATAATAATCAGTGGTAGTGATTTAAAGCATGCCCTAGAAGAAATAAGGCCTTAAGTGAATCTTATAGGACATTCTAGAAAATGGGAAGGGCCTGGAAGAAGCTTTAACGACATGAAATAGCATGGGTCATTCAAGACACTGCATCCTCATTTTGTTCACCTATGGAAATCCCCTGGTGGTTTGCATGGCCCCTTTGGTTTAACCAGCCCTGAAGATATCAAGAAACCTAGAGTATTTTAGGCCATCCATGTCCTACAACACCAAGTCTTCCCTGGTTGTACTCAGATTGAGAGGGTCTTGGACAATTCTTCAGGGTCTGAACAGGGTGATGTGGTCTGGATATTTGTCCCCTCCAAATCTCAAGTTGAAATTTGATCCCAGTGTCTAATTTGGGGCCTGGTGGGAGGTGTTTGGGTCATGGCAGTGAATCCCTCATGAATATCTCAGTGCCTTCCCAGGGACAATGAGTGAGTTCTCATTTTACAGGTTCACACAAAAACTGGTTGCTTAAAGGAGCCTGGAATCACCTCCTCATTCTCTTGCTGCAGCTCTTGCTGTGTGACAAGCCTGGTCCCCCTTTGCCTTCTGCCTTGATTGGCAGCTCCCCAAAGCCCTAAGTAGACACAGATGCTGGTGCCATCCTCCTTATGCACATTCTGCTCAATCATGAGCCAAATAAACCTCTTTTTGTTTAAATTGTTAAACAAATTTGTTAATTACCAAGCCTCAGGTATTACTTTATAGCAAGACAAAACAGACTAACTCACAGGGTGAGGGCCAAAGTTCTGTCATCCATGCATACCCAAGTATATGTTGCCCTCACATGTCTTACAGTTAAACAGAGATGATCCCTATATCTTAAAAAAAAGTAGCTAAATATCACACACATATGTACATACACACCATGAATGATGGAGTTTGGACTTCAATAATAGGCAGAGATGATGATCATGTTCATTTCTCCTATAGGATCCCTGCTGACACACACATTCACACAAACACACACACACACACGCACGCACAGCACAACACGATGGGAGTACTCAGTCCCTACAAACACAGTGGAAATAAAACAATGACCACTTCAATTCTGATATCTGTGCTGATTGCTGGGATTCTGTTCCTTCAAAAACTTTGCCCAAGTCACAAGTTGTACCTTTCAGAAATGAAACATCCTACCCACCCCATCCTGCTTGGAGAAAGTCCCAGTGAGAAATAAAGGATGCAGTTGACTTGATGTGAAAAAAGTAAACTCAGGCTGTCCAATGGTGAGGTCCACCCAGCAGGGAGCTCAAAGGTGCCATTGTTCTGGTCGTCTTCATAAAGGGAGCTGCCCCATTTCTCCCAGCACAGAGTTGGGAGCAAACCCTGAGCCTCCTCCAAGATGCTGCTGGTCCTGCTCTCAGCGGCCTTGCTGGCCCTCACCGCAGCTCAGAACCTGAATGAAGGTAAAGCAACGGGGGAGAAGGTCCTGTCTCTGTGCTTGGGGCTTAGGAGATCTCAATGGCCTTGCTGGCCCTGACCTCAGCTAAGAGCACAGATAATGGCAAAAAAGAGAGAGAAAAAGTGGGACGTAGGTAGTAGGGGAGGCATTGTGACTTGGCTTATGGCTTAGGAGACCACACTGCAGAGGGGGAGGAAGGCAAGGGGGCAGGGGGATAGGAAGGTGCTACCGTGTTGTCATGCCAAAGATAAGCGCTATTATGTCGTCAATCTACGCGAAGGATTTGTAATTTATTTAAAGTACATTAGAGTCCAATGGAGAACATTGACCAAAGGAATGACAAACTGAGATTTGCATTTCTAGAAAGATCTCTGTGACTCTGTGAAGGATGGAGTGGAGGATGAAAAGACTGGTCCAGGGAAGTCCCATTGTGAAGTTAGTATAATGATCAAAGTCGACAGTGGGTACTGTGGCTTTCCTGTACATTGTCTGCAGGATCAATGAAGAAGATGAACAAATATCCAAGCTAGTTCAGAGATGGACAGTCAGATAACAAATTTGTCTCTCTCTCCATAGAGATACACAAATATCAGGGCCTAATATTGTCAGTGTTCTCCCACTCACATTTAAAATTTCAATCTGATGTGAGGAGTCTGTGTAATATCATATCCAAATATCTACTCCCTGATTACCTCCTTGAGGAAGTGTGTTAATAAAGGAAAGTAATTAGAGAAGAAAGAGGGCAGAAGAATACTAAAATATCACATTGAAATACCCAGAGCACTCACCCTAGCATTAGCTTTGAGGGATAACTGGGAGGACAAAAAGGGCTTTCTATTTTGAGTTGGTGGTTGACACTCTGTACAGTGACAACCCTGTCACCTACTAATGACTTCCTCCCTTTCCAGTAGCACCACACGCAGAGGAGTGGAGTTAACTTACGGGATACACTGAGTATGGACAGGAGTTCCTTATCATTATATAACACTTGAGAGCCCTGAGAGACTTGTAATGTGACTTTAATCGCATCCTGTACTTGTTTTCCTAGATGTCCAGTCAGAAGCGTCTCCTCTCCTATCATCAGGTAAATTCCAATAATCCTCAATCGACTCTCTATTCCTAGGCTCCTTTCGGATACTCCAGCTCTCCAGGTTTGTCTCACCATCAATCCCTCATCAGGAATTGATTACTGTTAATGCTCCTACAGACTCAGGCAAATCTCACCCAAACATGGCTCTGGTGACCATGAGCAGGGCCACCGCCTTGAGTGACAGATGCCCTGGCTGAGATCACAACAGGTGTTGCCTAATACCGCAGCCTAGGGCTGACTGCTGAGAGAGGGCGGAGGAAGGCAAAGTGTCCTCACTCTGACTCTTCCATCCTCCCGAGAGCCTCAGCTGCTTCTTTCTTCCCCTGCGTTCCTCTCAAGGTTCTGTAGCTTCAGGGAGAAATGCAAATAAATCAGTGTCTGGTTCCCTTTTCTCTGCATTGACACACTGACCTGTGTCCCTGTTCCTGATGAAAATGTGCCACAGCTATTGAGTGCTTCGGTGTGGGCCACCACCTTGTCTTTCTCTTCTCTGTTTCTTTACTTGCATCTTGGAACCAGGGGAACCAGCTCTAGTTTTCCATGTTGGGTTCAGGTGCCCCGAGTTGGAGTCACAGTTTGCAAGTAATTACAGCAGCCTGAAACATAACGGGCAACTCATATTCATGATTGCTCTGCTTCTCTACTGACCTTGGCAACATCCTCTGGGCATTCTAAGTGGTTCAAGACCCACTTTTGTGCCAATTTGAAGAACTCATGCTGGTCCCACAAGAAAAAATAAAAGAAGAGAGAGGCAATCAACATCAGGAGTACAAATGAAGAGGAGATCTGCATAAGGAAGCAGTGGACAGGAGGGAAGGTGGCCGTTGAGAGGCAGGTTGTGGGGAAAAGGGGCTGTGTGATAGGGTCACAGAAGAGAAAAGAAAGGACAGTCTTTCATCACTGAGCTCAGCTATTCTTGTGCAGCTATTCTTCTTACTTTTACAGATGTAAGGAAACCAAGCGAGAAGCCAGACAAACCTGAGGGACCACCTCCTGAAGGACACCCATCTGGACCCCCTCCCTCTGGTGGGCCTCCCCAGAAACCACCCAGACCAGGAGGCCACCACCCCCATCCACCCCCACCTCATCATGGAAACCATCAGGGACCACCTGCACATGGAGGCCATCACCACTCTCACCCACCTCATCATGGAAACCATCAGGGACCACCTGCACATGGAGGCCATCACCATCCTCCTCGCCCTCCTCCTGGAGCACCCCAAGGACCACCACCACCCCCTCCCTCTGGAGAGCCCCAAGGACCACCACCACCCCCTCCCTCTGGAGAACCCCAAGGACCAGAACCACCTCCTTCAGAAAAACCTGCCCAAGACCAGCCATCACAGTAATCTCCAATTGAGTGACAGGTATGCTTCTAGTTCATTTTTCACCAAAGGCCCTAACTGCTACATTTCTTAAACTTTATTGTGTCAGTGAATCAACTGTAAACATATTGAAATTCTATAGTCCTACACCCCATTTCTGAAGATTTCTGTTGGATATTCTGGGATAGGGTAGCAAGACCCTGTATTCATAACAAGCTTGCCAAGATAATTCTGATTTTGAGAAATACTGCCCCAAAACTTCTTTTCATTCGATGATTATGTGTCTAAAATTGGCTTGGTAGTGAGGAAGTAGAGACATATTCTCCTTGTGGTCCTCTGCCTGCTGTGCTCAGAGTCAATGACTTGCCCTCTCAGGTTTCCACCTGAGCACTCTTTGCTCAGTCCTGCCACACACCAAGCCTCTCAGGTGCAGTATTTTGGCTAAATTAGTCTTTAAGTTGATGCTGCTAAATGTTATCTAGCTTTTCATATACTTACTTTTCAATTAATACATGATCAATGGAAAGGCATGAAGCTAAATATTAAAGGCATATCTCATCCTAGCTCCCTGCCTTCTCCTAAAAGCCAACCCCATTAACCCTTTGTTTTGGGACATCCTCTTGGAAATATGTATAAACATAAACATATATAACTCTTTTTTCCACAAATGATATACTTTACATCCATATCTGTATGTTGCTCACTTCAAAGCATATTTCTTAGAAAACGTACATATCAGTTAATAGAGATATGTAGATCTCTTCCATGTTTTGATATTTTTTTTGTTGTTTGTTTCATTTGGTTTGGCTTTTTTTTTTACAATTAGATACTAGTCCAGTTGCATACTTGTTTCATGATTTCTTTGATCAATCCCTGGTCACTGAATTTTGAGGCTGGTTTCAGTTTTTCATTATGACCGGATGTGTTGCAATGACCATCTGTGTATCACTGAACATATTCACCAGCAACCAAAACATAAACACCCCGAGAATAATGATTTCTCTTCATCTTGTAAGCAGCAATTGAGTGCACATTGTCTGCAAGGTAAATTAACAAAGTGAATGAAGTAAATTAGGAAGGAAAGGGGAGAGGAAGAGGGGAAAGAGAGAGAGAAGGCGGGCGTGCACCTACCACACTGCAGTGATACCAGCAAGGCATTGGACACTTCCTGCCATGATGTGTCTTCTCTCTAAACTTTCTTGTTTGTTTGTTTGTTT